AATCTGAAACTGCAATCAAATGTAAATGGTTTATCTTGCAGAATTTTTCAGGATTCCACCCCAGGAGCAGTGTCAGATACGTGCATGCTACTGTGATGTCAAATGGTTTCAGTGTCGTGGCCGCTGGGATTACTTAACACAGAAAGACCCTTACTCTTCCTCTCTAGATCTGACCTCTACTCTTCTAGAAGTCATCCATATCCTTTATCATGTGTCTTCCAGCTAGATTCTTGGGGAGGTCTTGCATTGAAAACCCCTGTGGATACATCATAATTTCCCCCTACCCAGGGCAAATTTCATCTCTCCTCTGGAATCTCCTTTGACTTTCTCAAGTATAATTAGTAATTTTTTCCTCTGGAATCCCATAACACTTCTTGTGTACCTTGGTCATTGCATTTATCCAGTTGCCTTACAATTGCTTGAGTGTCTGTCTCAACTAGACTCTGAGCACACTGAGGGAGGGGGCTGGGTTTGGAAAGTAAGGTTGGCTCCCAGTGCTTTACCCAAACAGGACTATATTTACAACAGGATTCCATTCTTCTATACTAGGTAGCACCCCTCTATACCCACACATCTTTCCATCTCTTCTCTGCTTCATCCCATCACCCCTCAAGGTTATTGTGATACAATTAGGATCAAATAGTTGGTTCCACTAATTCATCTTTTGTTTTGGACAAAGTAGGTGTCAAAATACATTTGTAGCCAAAGTTTTCTGTAATCACACACTAATTTGCTGCTGCTTATGCTGCAGCTGCTGCTGCTTCCTTCCCCCCCCACCCAACCTCCTCCTTCTTCCTCCCCCTATCTCCCTGCCTCCCCCCGCCACCTTCTTCCATCATGGACCTCTGGTTTAGGTTTTTCGCCCATTACCCGAAGACAATTAAAGTATTTTGAGTATAATTGCAGACAAAGGTTCTGAAATCCTTTGGCGGTTCTTAGTTTGGGGGAGTCAGGGGACGGGGGTATTGTCCAGGTACCACAGAATCTACTTATGTCTACAGCTGCCTTTTATGTTACCATCATTATTGAGACCTCCATTTAAAAAATTCTAACAGAGGGGCGCCTGGGTGGCGCAGTCGGTTAAGCGTCCGGCTTCAGCCAGGTCACGATCTTGCGGTCTGTGAGTTTGAGCCCCGCGTCAGGCTCTGGGCTGATGGCTCGGAGCCTGGAGCCTGTTTCCGATTCTGTGTCTTCTTCTCTCTCTGCCCCTCCCCCGTTCATGCTCTGTCTCTCTCTGTCCCAAAAATAAATAAAAATGTTGAAAAAAAAATTTTTTTTAATTCTAACAGAGAACTCAGGAGACCCCAGAGGTCCTTAGAACTGGTTTGAGAAAACAGTAGTGTCTACCCAAAATGAGATTCAAGTATTTCAGTTTGTGATTACAATAACAAATGCCCAGGGCTTCTTTCATTGTAGAAAGACTACAAAAAGTTAATTAACAGCACTAATTGTTCCAGGGAATGCCCTGTTTACAATAGCTCTTACAACCTCAGGACTTTTGGTTCTTTGTTTCTTTTTATAAAAAAGATTCTCTTTAATAATATTTTTTTTTCTTTTTACTGAGGTATAGACATATAACATTATATTAGTTTCAGGTATACAATATAATGATTTGATAGTTGTATACATTATAAAATGATCACCACATTAAGTCTAATTGACATCTGTCACTATAATTACAAAAGAATTTTGTTTGTGTGTATGTATGTGTGATGAGAACTTACAGATCTCTCTTGGCAGCTTTCAAGTAAGCAGTATCATCACCCAGGTGATTAAGAGTCCGACTCTTGATCTCAGCTCAGGTCATAGTTTCAGGGTTGTGAGTTCAAGCCCTGCATTGGGCTCTGCACTCTCAGTGGGGAGCCTGCTTGGGATTTTCTCTCTCACTCTCTCTGTGCCTCCCCTGTTTGCGCATGCTCTCTCTCAAAATAAATAAATAAATAAGTTTAAAAAAAGAAAATAATTGGGGTGCCTGGGTGGCTCAGTCAGTTAAGCGTCCAGCTTTGGCTCAGGTCATCATCTCATGGTTTATGAGTTTGAGCCCCGCATCAGGCTCTACACTGTCGGCACAGAATTTTAAAAAAAGAAAGGAAGGAAGGAAGAAAGGGAGAAAGGAAGAAAAGAGATGCTTTTTTAAAAACAAACAAACAAACCCAGAAACAATCATCACCATGCTGTATGTTAACATCCCAGTGACTTACTTATTTATAACTGGAAGTTTGTACCTTCTGACCACCTTCACCCATTTCACACATACCTGTCCCCTTCTTGCCGCTGGCTACCACTAATTGGTTCTCTGTCTCTATGAGCTTGGCTTTTTGTTTTTGGTTTTGTTACTGTTGTTTTTTAGATTCCACACATAAGTGAGATCATACATTATTTGTCTTTCTCTTTCTGACTTATGTTGCTTAGAATAATGCCCTGAAATTTCATCCATGTTGTTGCAAACGGCAAGATTTCATTCTTCTTATGGCTGAATAATACTCCATTATATATATTGTCAAACATGAATAAAATCGCCAGTTATTTTACCAACAAAATGAGTTTATTAGGGAATAGCAGAGGAATGCAATTTGGACAAATTGTGGTAAACCACAGGCAAGTCCTAAGAGACTAAGGAAAGGTCACCTCTTACTAGGTTTTAGGAGGAAATTGGGGAGGGTTGTTTTGATCAAAATTCTTTGGAAAAGAACAAGAGTCTGAGATCCGTGGTGGTTTCTCTTTGGCTTCAGGTGGTGGTTATTGTGTTGTTGCTGGGGCAGGGAGAGATTGTCCTTTCTTTGTCTTACAAGCAGGTGATAAAAGTCCCGTGTGAAAAGTATCTTTGTGAAGATAAGAGCTACCTTCCTTCTTCTTGTTGGTAGTGTGGGCTTCCAGGAGTGGTATGTGTGCGAGAGATCCCCCTTCCAGGCTTCCTGACTCCATTATTTTTTTTTTAAAGTAAGCTCTACTTGCAACATAGAGCTTGAACTCACCACCTAGAGATCGAGAGAGTCACATGCTCATGGATTAAGTCAGCCAGGTGCCCATCCTGACTCCATTAAATGAGGTTTTCTTTACTCATTTTTACAATACATGCCACATTTTCTTTATCCATTCTTCCATCTGCGGACACCTAGGTTGTTTCCATATCTTGGCTATTGTAAATAACGTCACAGTGAACACAGGAGTGCACATATCTTTTCAAGTTAGTGTTTTCATTTTCTTTGGATCAATACCCAGAAGTACAATACCCAGAATTACTAGATTGTATGGTATTTCTATTTTTAATTTTTTGAGGAATCTCCATACTGTTTTCCATAGTGGCTGCACCAGTTTACATTCCCACCGACAGTGCTCACGGGTTGCCTGTTCTCCACGTCCTCGCCAGCACTTGTTATTTCTTGTCTTTTTGACGATAGCCATTCTGACAAGTGGGAAATGATATCTCACTGTGGTCTTGATTTGCCTCTCCCTGATGATTAGTGGTAACTGGGCAACTTTTCATGTACCTTTTGGCCATTTGTATGTCTTCTTTTTAAAAAAGCCTATTCAAATCTTCTGCCTGTTTTGAAAATCAGAGGGTATATTCTTTTGCTGTTGAGTTGAATGAATTCTTTATACATTTTGGATATTAACCACTTATCAGATATATGATTTACAAGGATTTTCTCCCATGCAGTAGGTTACCTTTTCATCTTGTTGATGGTTTAGTTTGTTGGGCAGCAGCTTTTTAGTTTGATGTAGTGTAGTTTGTTTATTTTGCTTTTATCGCTTTTGCTTTTGGTGTCAGATTCACAAAGACTCACGTCAAGGAGCTTACTGCCTATGATTTCTTTGAGGAGTTTTATGCTTTCAGGTCTTATGTTCAAGTCTTTAATCCATTTTGAGTTTTTTTCTGTGCGTGGTGTAAGACAGGGGTCCGGTTTCATTCTTTTGCACATAGACGTCCAGTTTTCCCAAAACCATTTCCTAAAGAGAATGTCCCCTCCCCACTGTATATTCTTGCCTCCTCTGTGGTAAATTAATTGACATATATGCATGGGTTTACGTCAGGGTCCTCTATTCTGTTTCAGTGATCTAAGTGTCTGTTTTTATGCCAATACTATACTGTTTTATGACTATAGCTTTGTAATATAGCTTGAAATCAGAAAGCATGATGTCTCCAGCTTTGTTCTTCCTTCTCAAGATTGCTTTGGCTGTTGGGGCGTCTGGGTGGCTCAGTCATTTGAGTGTCCGACTTCGGCTCAGGTCATGATCTCACCATTAGTGGGTTCATGCCCCACGTCAGGCTCTGTGCTGACAGCTCAGAGCCTGGAGCCTGCTTCGGATTCTGTGTCTCCCTCTCTCTCTCTCTGCCCCTCCCCCACTCATGCCCTCGCTCGCTCTCTCTCTCTCTCTCTCTCCCTCCCTCAAAAATGAATAAACATTACAAGAAATTTTTTTAAAGATTTCTTTGGCTATTTAGGGTCTTTTGTGGTTCTGTACAAATTTTAAGATTTTCTTTCTATGAAAAATACCATTGCAAATTTGGTAAGGATTGCATTGACTCTATAGTAATATTAATTCTTCCAACCCCTGAGCACAGAATATCTTCCCATTTATTTGTGTCATTTCTTCAGTTTTTTCCATAAACATGTTAGAGTTTAGAGTACAGGTCTTTCACCTCCTTGATTAAATTTATTCCTAGTTCTTTTATTGCCTGTTCTGCTTTAACCCAGTACATTTTCCATCCCATTCCCAGGCAAAATAATCACGACCACATTCTTTAGGAAATTCTGCACAAAGAACCAAAAATATGTCCCTAGAAAATTAGACTTCCAGACCCCTGATGAGAAAATCTGCCTTCCTGATTGTTTCCGAACACTGACCTTGCCCTCAGGCTCAAAGAAATAACCCCTGATTTCTTGGGGGGCGGGGGAGCCAGGGTTGTCTGTGCAGCTTCCCCTGTATTCTACCCACTAGCGTGACCTGGAAGGCGTGTGTTGACTCTCACTGACTTGGGATGTTTTGTCTTTCAGAACCAGAGGCAGGAGAAGTGTCCCCTCCAGTGGGTGCTGGTGTCAACAGCAACAGCTGGACCTTTAAATACGGACCAGGCAACCCCAAACAATCTGGTCCCGGTGAGTTGCCAGACAAATTCATTATCCCAGGATCTCCTGCAATCATCTCCATCCGGCAGGAGCCTACTAACAGCCAAATTGACAAAAGTGACTTCATAACCTTCGGCAAAAAGGAGGAGACCAAGAAAAAGAAGAAAAAGAAGAAGGGTAACAAGACCCAGGAAAAAAAAGAGAAAGGGAACAGCACGACTGACAACAGTGACCAGTGAGGTCATCTCATGGAAACAAGCCACTTAGCCAGTTTTTGTAATAATGGCAAATCTCTCCCATGTAGCAACTCCCCACTCCCTTCTCCTATCTCCATGAGCCCTCTCTTATAGACCTCAGAAATCTGCAGAAAGTTCCCTGTGTCTGTGTAGATCACATTTAAGAGGTTTTGTCTTAAAAGCTTTACTAAGTCTGGTGTTAACTCTTTCTCTCCACTCTGGCTTGTTTTCAGAACCTAAAAAGCAGACCCAAGTTTCCTTTCTCCTCCGCCGCAAAGGAGAAGCTTCCCAGCCCCGCCAGTGAGAGGTTGGACTCTCTGCCCTGTGCTCCGGGGATCCTGTCTTGATGACACTTGCAGGGCAGGCTCAAAGGTTTTGAGATTGAGCAGCTTGGGTGTCTGTGGCCACTGGGTTTGTGTGGTTACCGTGGGCGTGTGAGTGCCAGACATTGGCTGGGATGGGCCAGATGAGACTAGTTGGTGCAAGGAGGGCTGGGAAACAAAGGCAAAGAAACAGTGGGAGTTGCCAATCCAGGGGGAACGTGAACTAAAAGGGACCAGACTTTCTAAATCTTACAACTCAAGAGGCAGTGGCCACCCTCTCGCAGACAAAACCACCCCTGCCGACAAGGCTTTGGGCATCCTCAAGTCTGTTGGCTGTGTTGTCATTATCCCTAAAACCTGCATTACACCTACAAGCCAACAGTTCAGTGTTGAACGGGGCCAACCAGGGCACCAGAAGCAGATCTGATGTGTTTGCTGTGCGTCCTTGTGCTCACTTTATCAAAAATTCTTTTGCACACAATGTTTATGAAAAGGCTAGATCCTTTTCCAACACATATGCAAAAGCAGAAGCGAAAGAAAACCCCAACACCTCACTTTATGCTGTTTGTTGTTTGATAGATTTATTTAAAAAAGAGAAAATCTATGACTATAAATCTTTAAAGAGAAATATGATGAGTCCCCCCTCAACTCCTCAAAAGAGAATCCAGTCTACAGCCATTTAAATGATCATTGCTGCTACAGAAGTGCTTTAAGAGAATTGCCTGAAACATCTGTATTATACCGGCCACCTGCCAATCACAGCTTTACTCTTTCAGGTCACTCTGGGGCTGCCTCTTGCATGTATTAATTACTAAATAAAAGGATCTTTCTCTGTCTCTTTTCTAAGAAACAATTACGTGCACTTTGAATACACAGTACCTTCTCTAGCCAACTATATCAAGACCCCGAAATTGAAGAAAAATAATTGTTTTCTCATACACACAGTGAGCCGACTTTTCAATCCTCGAATTCTGTGATTTGTCTTGGTGTGCCAGCCCACACCTTCTCTTTGGTTTAGTTTTCCTTTTTTAGAACACTCTGAATTGCTAATCTTGCTGACACCTATGATGTTACCTGAAATCAATCTCCCATATGTATGCTGTATGCTATTATAAGACTCCTGAAATATACTTACTCCGTGCTTGTGTATGTGAATGTTAATGCAACTATACCTAGAGTGAACTTTAAGCTTTATTGTTGAATGTAATTCCATTATATTTCCTTTTGTACACCTGTGAAAAAGTGGAGTAGTGTTTTTTTAACCATTGTTAATCAGCTTTTGTGTATGAAAGACACAGTAAAATTTCTTTCTTAAATCAAGACACTGGTGATTCAAGGAATTTTATTTATGGTCAGCCAAGAGCTGTCTCTTGCCAAGACTCCCTCTGGCAAGGGAATAGATAGAGCTGTTTTTTTCTAGTAACAATTCTGGAATGAATACCGTGGTTATTCCCTGAGGGTATGCAAGCACAAAATTTACCAATCTGACCTCTCTGAAGTCACAGAATGCTTTGAAATTATAATGACATCTGGAATATCAGCTCATAGCGAAGAATAAAATTTACTGTCACCTTAAATAAGAAATTTTAATTTTGTTAAAATGTACGATTTAGAAGTTTAATTACATTATCTTTTAAACGTTATCATAAAAGGTAGGAGTCTGTTATTAAAACAAAAACATTAAATCTCAAAAAAAAAAAAAAAAAGCCTGTTCTGTCTGCTTTTAGCTTCATTCTCCCATGTTTTGAAGGGTGTGTAACTTCAGCTCTGCAGGATTGCATGGGGTAAAACTTGTTGCCAACACATGTGAACCATTGCTACATTGTAGGTTGTGATCATTTTGCCCCACTGAAACCCATGTATCTGACCTTACGTGCCTTTTGAATACTAGGAGAATCGGGCTAATTTATTAATGATGATAATTATGATGTATCTGTACAGCACTTTTTACATTTGCGAAGTGCTTTCCAGTCCATGTTAGTTACTAGTTATTACAGCTGTAAGGATAAAACACGCCATGTGGATTCATTTTTAATTGGTGCTATTGGTATTTTTTCTGTTATTGCTAATAAATGGAAAATGGTGGTATGAAAGAAATGGTGGTCATTTCTCAGTATAAGAGTAGGAGAAAATAGAACGCTGATTATCATTAGCTGTTATTTTTGAAGAAGTTTGCAGTATGACTCATCGCTCTCTGGCTATCTCCCTGGCTTTTGTGTTTATCACTAAGGCAAAACGCTCGATGGAATCAAGACTCAGACTCTACAGTATTACTAGAAAGGGCAGTCAGGAGGCTTCGGGGTCACTTCCCGATACACTGTTTCTGTCTTCTCTAGTAAGAATTGCAACAAACCAATTTTTTTATCCCTGGAGCCTTCCAGTCATCTTATTCATTCCGTGTTTAGCCTTTGCTCTTCTCTCCAGTTGGGCAAATAATGCCCCCAGGAAATAAAATTTTATGCATGCAGGGCACACGGTAGCCACTGTATGAAGTAGGTTCAGTTCACAGTCTATATTCCATAACAAATAGATCTTCCTTTTGTAGTTAAATTTTATGAGCAGTTATTCTCAACTGGGAGCAATTTTGCTTCTCAGGGTACGTTTGGCAACATCTGGAGACATTTTTGGTTTTGCTACTTGGGTGGAAGTTCTTCTGGCATCTAATGGGCAGAGGCCACAGATGCTGCTAAGCACCCTATAATGCACAAGACAGCCCCCCACAGCGAAGAGTTTTCCAGCCCCAAATGTCAATAGTACCAAGATTGAAAAATACTGAAACAGAATGAGCATATAATTTGTTGTTGAATCTATTTTTGAGATGGAAAGGGAACACCATTAGTAATTGGGATACAAGATTTAAGCTGGGCTTAAATCCCAGTTTGCCTTGTATGGTGACTCTACTTACAGAAAGAAAGAGACACTGACATTATGCTAGATCTTAACTAACTGGAATATAAATAAAAAGTTGGGAAAACAGAAAGAAAAGAGAAAGAAAGAAGTAGAGGAAAGAAAGAAAGGAGAAAGAAAAAGAAAGAAAGAGCAAGCAAGCCAGTACAGCTCTATAACTTGTTAGCTGGGGAACCCTGGGCAAACCACTATGTCTCTCAGTTTTTCAGCCTCTGTTTCATCATCTGTCAAATGGGAATAATTCTAGTACAGACCTTATAGATTTGTGGGGAAGATACAGCAAGATAACCTCAAAAAGGTTTTAGCACAGTTTCTGGTGCACTACTAGATAGTTGTTATTATTAATAATCCTTTTCTTCCATCTCCTCACCCTTTTTCAGAAGTTTAGATGTTATACTCAGGACAATTTTCCTATTGATTAAAATGTGAGTGACAGATTATAAAACATAAACTTTGCAATAAAAATATTTTTACTCCTTCATATTTTTGCTCACCTCTGAAGGAAAAGAGGTGAAGTGAGTTTCCTAACTCTTTACTTATTTCTATCCTGAATAATAATGAGGTTTCTAAGTGGTCAAGCAACCATTCTGTTTACAGCTGTTCCACGTCAATGATCTGAAAGCCAGAGATCAAAGGGTTTAGAAGTCACTTTGCATGTTCAAATGAATAAATTCCACATGAGCTTAAGTACAACTTGAGAAAGAGAAGAGTTACTTCCACATCTTCTTTTGGCGAATGGGCAACTCAGGAACAAACCAAGTTTCTCTCTCTTAAGACTTTTTGATGTGGGTCTTATAGAGAGAATGCAGGATTCATGCTTTCGAAGAATTACAATTCATCAAATTTTAAAGGATAAGGTTCCCCAGTGAGTGTTCAGAGCCTTTGCTCTTGGCTTTTAGGCTAAAGTCAGATTCTAAGTAAGTCGCAAGATGTCATATTAGTATATTTTATGTTTTATAAATTCAGAACTCAAAGCACAAATGTAGTTGACCAAACACTAAATCAATTCTAATATTAAATCCAGATTTTCAAGCCACCAAAACAACAAGAGGCATGCTAAAACAAACACATAAAAAACTACAGATAAGCTTCCTTAGGATTTGAAAGCCCCAAGAGCTTTCCTAAATAAATGGCAAGTTGGCCTCTCCTTGACCCTCTTTCATCACTTTTGTATGTATTTTCTCTTCTTGGAGAAAAAGCTGATCACATAATTTACCCCAGAATTCACTTGACTGTTGACTAGCAGGACATACACTTGCAACCTGAGATACCTCTCTGATTTTTATGCAGACACACATACACACACAGAGACCTTTCTGTTCTAATAAAGCAGGGGGCTTTAGCAAAGGAGCCATGTGCTCTTCTTCCTGGGAAGTTGGACCTAAGAGTGATCAGTAGCAACCCTATTGTCAGAACCCTTAGGTAAAGTGCTTGTTGGTTCCTATTTTCTCCATGGGGTTGATCCATGGGGAAATGCCTGCCGAAACATGAAATCTTAAAAGTTTTTTTGCCTCAAAAAAAATCTGAGTTTATCTCTAGGCTTAGGTTCCTGTGAGAAAGAGACTGCTCGATTTACTTCCATAGCATGGAGTCTAGTCTGCATAAAGAAATAAGGGAGATTAGGTAGTGAAAAACACAAAGCCCAGCAATTTGTTAGGTTATGCAATTATCCTGTGACTGGGGAATCATCAATCCTCAAAGAACATGAACAATTCAACCACTGAGCCAGCAGCTGGTCTTAGAGCAGAGCTCAACTGAGGCATAAACAGGCAGGAGACTTAATTAAATAGCTCCCATTTTTAAGGTCAGCTTTCACTAGTCTAACTTGATTTAATTTTATGTGACATTTGATTTTTATTATAAAAGTAATCATGTTCTTTATAAATTAGAATCTTAACAATTCTCTCTCACACAAGTATCCAATGTCAACACGTTCAGGTGTGTTTTTCCACATTTTTCTCACGTGCATGCGTGTGCATGCCCACAAACACACACCACACACACACACACACTCATAATTAGGAAGGAGACTTTAGTCAATGAGCATGGTGCTCTTCTCCCTTAGAAGTTGTGCCTAAGAGTGGTATGTAGCAACCCTATTGCCATAACCAGTTAGGTAAAATGTAGAAAATTAAACTTATGGGGGGGGCACCTGCCTGGCTCTGTCAGCAGAGCATGTGACTCTTGATCTTGGGGTTGTAATTGGGTATAGAGATTATTTACATATTTTAAAAATCTTAAAAAAAAGACAGTTAAACTTATGTGATATATGCATATCATATGCATAAGTGTAATTGTTTTCCTTTTCAAATTAAAAAAAAGATAAGCCATGCTTGTTACTCTGAAGCTTTTTTTTTAAATTTACAGTAGCATGGGGGCGCCTGGGTGGCGCAGTCGGTTAAGCGTCCGACTTCAGCCAGGTCACGATCTCGCGGTCCGTGAGTTCGAGCCCCGCGTCGGGCTCTGGGCTGATGGCTCGGAGCCTGGAGCCTCCTTCCGATTCTGTGTCTCCCTCTCTCTCTGCCCCTCCCCTGTTCATGCTCTGTCTCTCTCTGTCCCCAAAATAAATAAACGTTGAAAAAAAAAATTTACAGTAGCATGGAGATTTCACCAGTTAACTCTAAATCACTTCTTTTAATTCCTGTACAAATTTCATATAATGGCCAGATGATAAGGTCATAATGCATTCACCTTTTCCTTTATTAATGGACATTTAAGCTAACCCAAATTTTTGTGACTAGAAACAAAAAATGGCACTCATGTGCAATGATAAATTCAGTACCTGGGCTTTATAGTGTATCCCAAAGGGGAAATTTGGAAGGACTTTATGAACTTTATGTGACTCCCTCTAGAGTAGAATAACCCAGACCTCTGTCTGAACACATGCTCCGTTTCAGTACTCAACACTAAACTATGGCTCTGTTTATATAGATAAATGATGAAAACAGAAGAGACATTCACAAGAGAGACAGAAGTAAGGAAAATGTGCTTTCATTTACTTGCCCCAAATCATTTCTTGGGAGCTCCATTTCACCCAAGACTTTTCTTCATCCAGTCACTGATTGAGGTGCACGTATGAAAGAGGGAGCCTGGAAGACAGTTCAAATACTTGCTTAGGCCCATGCTATGTTAATATCATCTGGTTGAATATTGCACAGAAAGCAGTGTGATTTTCTTCAAGGTTGTTATATCCTAGCTGAGAAGTAGACATCTGCGGAACAGATTTCATTTTAAGAAAAATAAATTGTTTATCAATAATGACTCTGAGACAGCCACGGAATCAGGGTAGCCATTCATGTGTTAATCTCTCAGTTACAAAATCATCTGGATCACAGCTTTGAAAGGTCTTCCTCCCTAAATTATTGATATGTATCGGCCTTTCAAGAAAGAATTACACTCCCGAGTCCTTAGGTTTATTCCATTCTCTAAGGCTAACAGCATTCATTATCCAGATGAAATACACATTTCTTCTCAACTGCGGGAGCTTTCCAGATCACTTTGCTCTTTGTCTTCCTCAGGCATACGGCCAATTTTCTGGGAGCCAGGGAGTCTGGAAGCTTCAGTCTTCCTTTCACACCTTTCAAAATGGGACAGTTAGCTTAGAGCCCAGTTGGAGGTCTTGTGGACTGGTTCTGGAACGTAGGTGGGTAGTGCAATGTTTGGGAGCAAGAGCTCGAACAGACAGTGCTAGATCTAGCCTGGAAATGCCTGTAGGACGGAGAGGTGGTTTTCTGCAGGCTGAGCTTACATCAGAAACGTAGGAGCATTCAGTAACTTTCTTTGCATAAATTTGGAATGATAGGGCAGAGGGGCCATGGGACAGGTCCAGTCTGCTGGCAGAGATGTGCATTGTAGAACAGATTTTTGATTGCAAGAAGCCAACCCCATCTAGATTAAGCTAGAAAGGACAGTTTATAAGGGCACAGGTTGTCTCACTGAAACTAAGAATGGGAATGCAGCTGGGCCTCTAGAAGGGACCAGAGGTTAGAAAGCCAGAACTGTTTTTGGTTGTTTTTTTTTTAATGTCATCTTTTTTTGGGAGACCTGGTGGCTCAGTTGGTTGAGTTTCTGACTCCTGATTTCATCTCAGGTCATGATCCCAGGGTGTGGGATGGAGCCCAGTGTCCTGCTCTGAGATTAGCACAGAGACTGCTTAAGATTCTCTCTCTCTCTCTCTCTCTCTCTGCCTCTGCCACTCTCCCATGCACATGCTCTCTCTCTCAAAATAAAATGAAGTGGAATAAAATAAAATGTCATCTTCTCTAATTATCTTTCTCCATCTGCTTCATTCTTCCCTATCTCTGCAGACCAGTTTTTCTCTCCTTTTCCCATAGCTTCTAAATGTATATATCTTTGGTTCTAGTGGTCCACAAAAACCTGCCTTCTCTTTCTAAATACCCATTACAAATTCTTCTTGGAGAGAAAAACTGATTGGCTTGCTTTCAGTCAGGTGGCCAACTGTGGTCTCATCAGCTATGGGCCAGTGGGACGTTTGGAGATTCAGACATTTAGAGACAAATTTAAAAGCTTGCTGACCGCGGGTATTCCTCAAGTGTAAACTAAACATCAGTGTAAAGAATCTCAGAAAGTTAGGGCCTACAGGAAACTTGTTTAACAAGTAAGAAGACCGAGCAAAGGAAATGTTTCATTCAAGGTCACAGTCAGTAAATGACAAAAGAAAAGTCGTTCTTCTATGACCAGGAACTGCAAAACCAGAGACCACCAGGAGGGGATAATAGTACCTGTTTCATGATATCCTTAATAGACATAAGTAGTATAATTTAAGGAGGCCATATTTATTTTATATAGTCATATGTCATTGCTATTTCTCTTTTTATTCAAAATGTAACTAGCAATATTAATTTCTTTTAAGAGAAAGTAAAAATAACACAAAATTTTACATATATATGTGTATATATGTATATATATACATATTTTAAGATATATATCTTATATATATAATATTATATATATCTATATCTATATATATTTATATATATCTATATATATTATATATATATCATATTTTTATTTTTAAGATATATATATATATACACACACATATATATATCTTAAAAATAAAATATACAGAAGCCCAGACCTTGGAGAGTAGCCAGGGAAGTTTTGTTTTGTTTTGTTTTTTGGGTTTATTTATTTACTTTGAGACAGAGAGTGCACAAGTGGGGCAGGGGCAGAGAGAGAAAGGAAGAGAGAAAATCACAAGCAGGCTATGAGCTGTCAGCGTGGAGCCTGATGAAGGGCTCAATCTTCCAAACTGAGAGATCATGACCTGAGCTGAAATCAAGAGTCAGACACTTAACCAGCTGAGCCACCTAGGTGCCCTGCAAGTGAAGTGTCTACAGAGAGGTACCACGGAGAGTTTGGAAGCTAGTCTTCCATGCCTTTTTCATTGCATACATAACCGGGTGCTTGAAGGACCCAATAAATAGCATCCTTCTTCCTTGCCCAGAGCAATGAATAAATTGATAAACAAATGAATGGCCTAAGAAAGCCAGGGTGCTACTTTTGTTAATGATACAGATGAGTTAGAGGAGGCAAATTAGTTTGAGTGCCAAATTTAGGGACTAACTGAACCCCATACTAGTCAGGGCTTCTATCCCAGCATCAGACAGGAAGGATAGCACTGAGGAGCAGAAGATAACCAGTATTCACAGTGGGTAGTTCATTTCCAAGAGGCAAAGGGGCAGAGTCAAGTCAAGAATTAATAGTTTATTCTCTCCCACATTGCCAAGCACATAAGTGACTCCAATCCCCTGAGGCAGAGTGAACAAGGGGCATAGAAAAGCTAAGAGTGTGACTCTGAATCCCCTTTGCATATAAGGGGGCATCAGGAAAGAAAAGATGCATTTTTCTGTAAATACATATATATATTTTAAAGGATCATACTAGTATTTTCTGTCACTTGCTTTTTCCCATATAAATAGAAATCTTTTTTTTTAAATTTTTTAACGTTTTTATTCATTTTTTTTGAGACAGAGAGAGACAGAGCATGAATGGGGGAAGGTCAGAGAGAGAGGGAGACACAGAATCTGAAACAGGCTCCAGGCTCTGAGCAGTGAGCACAGAGCCGGACGTGGGGCTTGAACTCACGGACCTCGAGATCATGACCTGAGCCGAACGGACGCCCAACCAACTGAGCCACCCAGGCACCCCGATAAATCTTTTAAATCATTTACACATATTTCCTGACATGGTTATATAATTTACTTAACCGGTCCCTGTTCATTGATATTAAAGGTTTTGTATATTTTTACCACTGTAAACAGCACTACAATGAACACTCTTTTACCACGTTTGGCACATTAGTCCAGTATTCCTGCAAGATAGGTTCCAAAAGTAGAATTACTAAGTAAAACAATATGCACATTAAACCTTTTATACACATTACAAAATTGGCCCCTGGAAATGCAGTATACTCCTACAGTCAGTTTATAAGAATTTCTACACCTTGCTTAATGGATATTATTAGTCATTTTCATCTTCAAAAATAAGATAAGCAAACCACTATGGTTTAATTTGTATGTCTTTGATTACCAAACAGTTGTACACTTTTTCTATCAGAAGATTATGATTTAATTGATCTGACAGGGTTGTAGTGTAAGCTAAGTGATAATTGGCTTTTCTTTTTGTAATGCAATTGCCTGACTTAAGTTTTGATTATTGAGGCATTCACTTTAACAGGCACCCACCTCGAAGATGGCTATTTCAAGTGGCAGTGCCAGCTGAGAGACTGGAAAAAGAGCTGCCCCCCACTCCCCGTCTTTGTTAATTTCCATACCTGGCCTTTCTGGTAGCTTGTTTTTTCTCTCCCCACATTTTATTTTTTATTTTAACGTTTACTTTTGAGAGACAGAGGGAAACAGAGCACGATTGGGGGAGGGGCAAAGAGAGAGGGAGGACACGGAATCTGAAGCAGGCTCCGGTCCCTGAGCTGTCTGTCTGCACAGAGCCCTACACGGGATTTGATCTCAACGAGCTGTGAGATAATGACCTGAACTGAAGTCCCATGCTTAACCAACTAACCGCCCAGGAATCCCTCTCCCCGTGCTTTAAATTCTCACTCTTATGTTTTAAATTACGAGTGAGGCCACGAGAACCTTGCCACCAATAAAAGCAGAACCCCAGACCCACGTGTGCTCAGGCCTACGCATGCGCCCATGCTCCCCTGCCCTCTGTATACCGCGACCCTGCCGTTGGCCCCAGCTCTGCCACATAACTTCCATGATCTGTAAGTTATAAAGCTTTCTCTTTTTCCCTCAGTTTCCTTATGGGTATTGCTGGGAGCGTCTTGCAATCATAAGACCCACATGGGCCTATCGAGCCATAAGCGTGGATATTGATAGGCTGAGATCAGCACAAGAGCAGGTGTCAAATATTTACCAGGGTACAAGATGCCTATAAGTATCCAGGCAGCAAATTTGGCTTTAAAACAGTGTGAAAAATTGATGGTGTTATTTGGCTCAGTAGGTATGTTAGAAAGATTTCAGTGTGTGATCTCAGAATCAATATTCAGTCCATATATTTGTGCAATAGATAATTACCATAATAAATGCAGACTTGACGTTTCAGTAGGAGGATGCATTAGGTCTGTGTCCCGAGAGGTTTGCTGAATCAGGAGCTTAGAAACAGTGGAGCACAGTGGGCCAACTGCCTTTCTTCTAGACTTCTACCCTTCAGTCTTCAGAGCGACCCTAAGACCACACCAGAACATGTAAGATTTTGTCTTCCATTCTCCTCAAAAGGCGCCCACATGTCATTGTCCTGGTTCTCTGCACACATTGATAGAAGTCTAGGGACGCCTGGGTGGCGCAGTCGGTTAAGCGTCCGACTTCAGCCAGGTCACGATCTCGCGGTCCGTGAGTTTGAGCCCCGCGTCAAGCTCTGGGCTGATGGCTCAGAGCCTGGAGCCTGTTTCCGATTCTGTGTCTCCCTCTCTCTCTGCCCCTCCCCCGTTCATGCTCTGTCTCTCTCTGTCCCAAAAATAAATAAAAACGTTGAAGAAAAAAAAAATTAAAAAAAAAAAAAAAAAGAAGTCTAACTCCCCAAGTGGCAGACATGGAGACTTTAGGTGTGGGTCTTAGATTTATGAAAGACTTGGAAATGTGCATTAATAATACAATGGAGAGGGGAAATGTGAGAGAAAGATAATAATACTATTAAAAGTAATAAGTGATATAGCAGTTTGGATTAGTTTAGGTTATATTTTTTAAAAAACTGCAATATATTTTCAGAATAAAAATGATGGAAGTTCTATCTCTCTCATAAAAGGAAGTCTGGAGATAGAGAGTCCCAGCTGATAGGGTAGCCTTACTATGACATTAGGGACCTAGGATCATATCTTCTACTCAGTGATCCCAGCATGAGACTTACTCATTGTCAAGGTCTCCCATAATTAAATATGTCTGTTAGATCGCCAGCCATTTCAGGAACGGGAAGGAAGGGAAGTCTTTTAAAGGTTTCCCACAAGTCCCACCTAACATGTCCGTTTATATATCACTGGCAAAAAAAAAAAAAAAAAAAAAATCATATGGTCAAAACCAGTTGCAAGGATGTGTGTGACCAACTAAAACACAGGGTTCTTTGTCTAAAGAGAATATAATCTCTGTCATAAATGGATCAATTTTTTTCTTAAAAATTTTTTTTAATGTCTTATTTATCTTTTTTTTTTTTTTTTTGAGAGAGAGAGGGAGAGGGTGCAAGTGGGGGAGGGGCAGAGAGAGAGGGAGACAGAGGATCCAAATCGGGCTCTGTGCTGACAGGCTGACAACAGTGGGCCTGACCTGGGGCTCGAAATCATGAACCACTAGAGATCATGACCTGAGCTGAAGTCGGATGCTCAACTGACTGATCCACTAAACGGATGAATTTTTAAAAATAATCTCAAAGTGGGGAAAGATTTTATAAGCATGACAATACTAAAGTGATAAAAGATGAAATATTTTTTATAAACAAATTTTTAAAAATTGTATTGCAAGACCACCATGAACAAAATCAAAAGGCAAAATATCTATTAATGTCACAAATAAGGGCTAATTTCTATTCATAGAAGTAACTCCTGCAAATTGAGAAAAGCCCTCAAAACAAATAGAAAAATGTACAAGGGACATTTCACAGAAATGAAAATACATGCAGATGTTTTAAACATATGGTTCAAACAAATTCAAAACACAACTCCTTTGAGATAAAGTTTTTTCATCCATTGATTGGAAATGGCTACAAAGTTTAATGCCACAGTGTGCTAGCAAGGGTGCAATTCACCAGGTGTTCTCATTTGTGGTCTTTCACATACTTACTTGTACCTTCCCTCATGTGCTCTAAACTTAACCCCTGATGCTGCCTGTTGCTGCCATAAACAAAATCTTCTGTGACCTTAGACTCATTTCTGAGGACAGGGTCCTGCCTCAAGCATGCATTTAAGTCTTTTGCTTTCTTTCCTAAGGCTTTTCTGATGTCTCATTAAGGGACTCTGGTCCTTAAAGATACAGGTTTACCCAGAAGTATGGGACTTAACACTTCTGGGTCAACCTTCAACCAATGAGTGATGAGAAACAAACGTTTATCTCAGTTGATCCTTGGGTGAACAAGTACAAGAGGCATCCTACACCCCCGTTTAATGTTCTGGCTGGCTGAAACCTCAGTTGCTCACAGTGGCTATCTCAATAACGCATCCTGGATTGGCTTTTCTCTCTCTCACTTTTCCTGGTCCTTTGGATCATCTCCCAAACTAATTACCTGTGCAGAAACTATTGTCTCAGTCTTTGCTTTTGAGAGTAATTTGAGCTCAGACATATTGCTAATGAGATATAAATTGGTAAGAGTAATGTGACAATTTTTGCTATAATTTTTAAAAATACTGACCTAACAATTCCAGTTTAGAAATTTGTTTTAGGGACACCTGGGTGGTTCAGTTGGTTAAGTGTTAAATTCTTGGTTTCCACTCAGGTCACAATCTCATGGTTCGTGAGATCTTGCACTGTCAGTGGATCCTGCTTGGGATTCTGTCTCTCTCTCTCTCTTCCCCTCCCCTGCTCTCATATGTGTGTGTGTGTGTGTGCGCGCTCTCTCTAAATAAATTTTTAAAAATTTTAAAAATAATTCATTTTAAAGAAATATACTAATAGTTGAGCAGGTGTGAAGTGATGGTTGTAAAAGAATATGCATCGCAACATTGTATAATAACCAGGAATTTAAAAAAAAAACACCTCACTGAATCCCAAAATAGGACATTGCTTAAGTAAATGCCAGTATGATTCATACAATGAAATAGCAGGTGGTAAATAATAAGATAGCTTTATATGGAAAGATTTTTAAAACTAAGAGCAATGGCATGCCTGGGTGGCTTAGTTGGTTAAGCATTTCACTCTTGATTTAGGCTCCAGTCATGTTCTCACGGTTTTTGGGTTTTCAGGCCCTGCTTTGGGCTCTGTGATGGCAGTGTAGAGCCTGCTTAGGATTCTCTCTCTCTCTCTCTCTCTCTCTCTCTCTCTGCCCCTCCCCTGTTCTCTCCCTCAGAATAAACATTTGTTAAAAATTCTACGTTTTAATTCCTAATTTAATTAATCCTATAATTCTGTCTCAAAATAAATTTAAAATTTTTAAAAATAAAAACTAAGATCAATAGATAGATTAAATTAGCATTTTGTAAAATATATGTGTATATATACTGGCATATGTATAGAAGATCCTCCTGGAAAGAGACACAAGGATTTGACATCGGTGGGTTGTCTATAAGGAGAACTTGGCTGCAGACAAGTGTGAAAGAGAGAGACTTCTTTCTTTCTTTCTCTCTTTTGTTTTTTTGGGTTATTGATATATCATGAATTAGTATTACTTTGCTATTTGGAATACTGAACCCTGTCTGAAACCCTGTCTGAAGTGTCTATTTCATCTATTAACTGTGGTTTTTAAAAATGTATTTAAAAACTGTTTCAAAAGCTTCAATTACATATGGGCACCTGGCTGGCTCAGTCAGTGGAACATGTGACTTTTGATCTTGGGGTCATGAGTTCGAGCCCCACATTAGGGGTAGAGATTACATAAGAAAATAAAACAAAATCTTTTTTAAAAAGTTTCAATTACATAAATTAGAATGAATTGTAGAATGAAGTGAACCCTTGTGTGCTCATCATCCAGCTTTGAACAATTACCATCATCTTGCCAATTCTGTTTTATTTATCTCTCCACTTTCCCCCAGTGGAAATTCTAGTAAATGCACAAAGGAATACAAAACAATAGGGAATATTAAAAAGGAAGTAGATACTCTCAAAAGGGTTATATTGTATGAATCAAATGAAGCCTAATATATTATAAATATATTATATGAAATACAATAGAATATAAAAATAATAGATATTTAATAGTTCTTTAGAAACAGGTTAAAAATGAATCCTTGAACTGCCTAGAAATGGGGAAAATATGCTTTTAAAAAGATGCAAATGTAATCAGAAAACATTCAGTAAACCCAGTCCAGTCGGTCTGATCTACATAAATAGAGCCAATCCTGGCTAAAACTAGAGTTACAGGTAGAGTTGCCAGATTTAGCAAGTAAAAATATAGAATAGCCAATTAAATTTAAATTTTCGTAAATAATGAATAATTTCTTAGAATAAGCATGTATCATGCAATATGTCCCATGTAATATTTGGGACATATTTGTACTAAAATATTATTATTTGTTTTATATGTTACTTGTGTATGTGATAATGCCTGGGTTCAACCAAAAGGAATCAGAATTTCTGGGGTTGTAGACTGGACATTACTTTTTATTTATTTATTTATTTTAATTTTTTTTTTTCAACTTTTTTTTATTTATTTTTGGGACAGAGAGAGACAGAGCATGAACGGGGGAGGGACAGAGAGAGAGGGAGATACAGAATCGGAAACAGGCTCCAGGCTCTGAGCCATCAGCCCAGAGCCCGACGCGGGGCTCAAACTCACGGACCGCGATATCGTGACCTGGCTGAAGTCGGACGCTTAACCGACTGCGCCACCCAGGCGCCCCTAGACATTACTTTTTAAAAAATTCCCCAGGCCAGAATTACCTACTTCATATCCAAGATTAAGAACTGCTCTAGAAAACGCTAATTTTAGCCAAATTAATTAGGTCAATTGGCATCAGGAGAATTGACTTTAGGTGAAATGGTATCAGGTGAGCTAAATCCTCATTGCCACATTAGCATACAACTTAGAAAAAGTTGTCCCTCTTGGTGCACTGTGTCCTTCTAAGAACCTGATTCACTTTGTAGCTGTTACTTATAGGCTCCCACCTTAAATTTGGCATCTGCCTCTGGCTGTTCTCTCTGGCATAAGTGAGGTCTCTTCGGGGAGGAGCACTTTTTGTGTCTCACTTATTAGCTAAGGCCTGGAAATGAAGATGTGAACGTTCTTTCCAACTTGGAGGTAGAAACACCCTGGTCTCAAGTCAGCAGTGGCTCCGAAATCCCCTTTGACACTTTTGGGCAGTTTCATTTTTCACTTGTATACATGGAGAAGCTGTAAGAGAGTCACTTGGTGACTTGCAAGTTATCAGGGACAGAAGCACAGGTAAACTAAGGTACCCTAACTCCTACTTGAATTGGTGTAAGAAAAGATAACATGGTGAAATTTTCCAGTATTGCTCAGGGTTGCTCAGAAAAACAGACTTTTACATTTCTAGCCTTTCCCCCAAACCAAATGTCACCTGAAAGCACTTCTTTCTTCTTCTCTGTAGCTAAGGTGCTGTATCTTTGTCCTCATCAGCTCCCAGTGGCCATGGTGGCAGAGAAGAATGGGCTGTTATTTGATGCCAGATTGAATCTGCAGAGATTCTGTGAACTGAGACTAGAGAATTATTACAGTGACTCAGAATGTGTGTGTCTATTTGTGATTTTTAGCATTGATAGCAAGCAAGACTTACTTTTAATTTCCTTTTAAATATTAGGATGTTTCAAAATGTCCACAGTTACTGATTAGGCCATTGTGTTTCAGATTTTGGTGATAGAAAGTAGCCAACTTTTAAACTAAAAAAAAAAAAAAAAATTCCTCTGGGAGGTTCTAACTGAACTTCCGTATTTCAGAATACCCTTCCCAGCCATAGCAAAAACATGAGTATTCTTCTGCTCTGTGCTACTTTTAAGACATCCATGTTGCCTTCTGGTTGTCACAGGCCATTGCCCCAGATGAGAAGTGCTGGCAGCATTGGCACAACTGTTGCCCCAATGTTCTCATCTTTAGAGAAGCATGGGCTTCAGGAGTGGGTTTGTCTTCAAAATGCGTAGAAAGCCAGCACCTTGTGATTCCTCCTGCTATGGATAATATCTAAGGCAGTGGAAGGAAACTCTCACGTTAGATGGCAACTGCCCCATGTCTCTGGCCTTCAAACCTGCATTGTCAGGGGCCAGAGGGGGCCTCTGTGTAGCCTTGGGCTGAAGGGAAGATGCCAGTTTTAGTGAAGTGAGAGCCCAAGAAGTCTAAATGTTCTGACCAGATACCCCCAGCCCCCGCCCCGCACCATAACTCACCCCTGTGTCATGGCCTTATCAACAGTATCTCCTCTTGCTACCATCAGATTAACTTCACAGTTGATGTCAGTTTCCAAATGTTCGAACTCCCCCATCAACTCTTTTTCCCCCAGAGAGTAACTTACGTGTTGTTTTGTGGATTTCTTTTCTTTCCTTTCACTGTGCCCTCTGGTCAGTCAGCAAACTTCCCTATATCCTCAGCCTTTTTTTCTGAAAATTCACCTTCTGACTAAAAACTGGCTCTCCCTGAAGACGTGACTTATATTTATTTTTCTCAAAAGGTAGCTATGCTTTCTCTTTACCCCTAATACTACTGGGCCTAGAAAGAAGAAATTCTCTTCCTGCTCCTTGGTGCCACTTTCACATCACTCCACCACCCTTTTGCCTAACAACATTCAGCTTGGAATTTCATGTCATGGAATTCTTCCACCTACTACCTCCCCTCATGGCGGCCATCCGCTGACCCCATGTCACTCATCCTCATTCCTTGAACATTTTAACTGCTGATTCTTCATCATGCTATCCAGTGTTATTCCAGCCATAATTCTTGGTAACATCAATATCCAGATAGGTGTATCTTCAGCAGCCTCTCCGTTCCTTGACCTTCTCTCCTGTAGTTAGCCAGTACTCTACCCAACTCAGCCACTTACTCCCATCCCAAGTCAGATATAGATTTCATGTTATCAATGCCTGCAATTTCTCTCTTAGCCATTTTGAGCATCCAACTGTCTGGCTACCCTGTCCAATTTTTCCAGCTTACACCCTCTAAGAGCCTAACTTCAAAAATCACTTCACCATTCCAATACATAAAATCCATTAGTACTACCACCCCCATGTCCTTACTTCACCTTATCCAGCTAAAATCCCATGGCCAGTCACTATAATCATTCCATTTCATACACCCTTAACTCCCTGACCTTCTCACACTTTAATATATATACATGCTTCTAAAAATCCTACTATTCATAAATCCAAACTTTGCCAATACCAGCCCTGTATACACATTGGTTAAAGTGATAGGAGAGGGCTGCCTGGCTGGCTCAGTCACTGGAGCATTTGACTCTTGATCTTGGAGTTGTGAGTTTGAGCCCCATATAGGGTGCAGAGATTACTTAAAAATAAAATCTTTAGGATCACCTGGGTGGCTCAGTTGGTTAAGCATCCAACTTTGGCTCAGGTCATGATCTCATGGTTTGTGAATTCGAGCCCCAGGTTGGGCTCTTTGCTGTCAGCACTCAGCCAGCTTTGGATCCTCTGTCTCCCTCTCTCTGCCTCTACCCTGCTCGCATGCACACACACTCTCTCTGTAAAATAAATATTAAATAAATAAATAAAATAAACTCTTAAAAAAAAGTGACTGGAGAAAATATCACAATATTTCTTGCTGTTCTCACTTTCTATTTGTAATTACAAATTTCAAATGGCCCTTAATGCTGCCTCGTGATCATATTGTGTTTTCCTAGTCCATTAGTCCTCCTACCTCATCCATTTGCTGGGACTACTTCTTACTCTCTGCTCTTTTCTCAACCTTTAGCACACGCCCATATTCTGTATCAGTAGAGCAGCTTCTTTATTCACTGATAAATGAAGCAGTCAGAAGACTGTGTCCACAAATTCACACCACATTGACCTTCTGACCTGTCTTTGTTCCCTTGTACCCTGCCTCATGTTCTGTGATATTAAATTGTCCATGCTCCTTGCTAAGGCCACCCTTCCATGAGTACTCATATCCCCTCCCATGTCATATCTTCAAAGACATTGCTTTCTGCCACCCCTGTATTGCCAGTTTTCTCCTTTCTACAGGATATTTCCCATCAGCATACAGGCATATTGTTATTTCTTACATCTTAAAGTAACCATTTTTTGACCCAATTTCTCCTTCTAGTTACTGCTCATTTCTCTCTTCTTTACCAAAAAACCCCCCAAAAACAAAACCAAAAAACTTTCTTGAAAGAGTTCCCTCTACTTACCCACCCGATTCCTTTTGTAATCTTTTTTCCCCAAAGTTTTAAAGAGTTACATTTAAATAATTAGTACTCATAGCTATTGACCATAAATTCAAATTATTTCATTTGAAACCACTGTTTTTCATATTAGAAATTAGTATCTGGCCTGAAGAGAAAGTCACAATGGCTCAGATTTATTTTATTTTAATTTTTGTTCTATAAAAAAATCAAACCTATTGAAAAGTTGACAAATTATTAAGGTTAAAAAAATAAAATTTGACATTTAACCATAATAGTGAATAAAAATCAATTTCAATGTAATTTGAAAGTCACTAAAAAGTATTGAGTATATAGGTCATCCTAAAAGGAGAGAAAAATAATGATAGTTTATTCCCTTGCTCACAGAGTGCTTCAAATGCACTACCTTTCTGTTGTGTCATTGCCTCCAAACCTTTGTACCTGCTTTTCCCTATTGCTAGTCACTGTTTCCCTTCCTGGATAACTTGTCATCTTTCAGAGCCCAGTCTTTCCCAAACTTCCACCCCAAACCTGCAGTTCTGAGTTCTTTTATCATACTATTGTCTTCTTATGGTAGTCTGTAATGTATTTATTGTAACAGTTACCTATCTTACCTGTTAGGATCCAAGTTTTGTGAGGCTGGAATGGTGCGCATTTCATTCAACATCATGTTTTCTGATCCTAGAATAGGCCAAACACATAGAAGGTGCTTAATAATATTTAGTAACTGAATGGCTATAGTGCTGATTGAGTGTTACATGAGATGAAACAATCTTTGGAAGAAAAGTCTCTCATTTTAACACTTCTGTGAAAAAGAGCCAGCACAGATTATTTAGTGATCATGTTCTAAAACTTATTTATTGGACCCCTGCAAAGGATTTAAGAGCTCAGTGAAGTGGACACCTTGTAAGATTAGAGACCTTGAGATCACAATGGTGATGACTGGAAACAGCCTCATGATGGTATAAATGCAAGTAATATAATGAACTAGTTTGCAAACATCAATGCACCATATGGAGGTCTTGGAAAATGCTTTGAAAGCCATTGGTTTAGATAAAATAGGAAGTTCAGCAAAAAGCTCCCCCTAAGGAAGTTTATATTTCTATTTCAAGTCACAGAGTAGGTATCTTCAGAAGAGGGGAGGAATTTAAAATTATGATTTTCGTTATTGCAAATTATGGGCAGAGAATACAGTAATGTCTTCAGAGCTATGAAGAAACTGTATCAGTGTTTCCCCCCAGCAGCCACCATTACAGTGAATCCATCTATATACTTTGATCTCATATCAAGAAATTGTGAATTTAGAAGTTTTACTAATTTGTTACATAAATATAGACCATCAGTCTTGGCAATTCATATAATCTCTGCTTCAAGTAGCATTATTGTTATTTTTAAATTTTATTTATGTATTTTGAGGGAGGGAGAGCAGGGGACCGGGAGAGAGAGAGGGAGAGAGAGACTCCCAAGCAGGCTCTGCACTGTCTGCATAGAGCCCAATGAGGACTGGGCTCAATCTCACGAACCGTGAGATCATGACCTAAGTCAAAATCAAAAGTCCAGTGCTTAACCAACTAAGCCACCAAGGTACCCTTCGAGTAGCATTATTTAAAAGGAATCCAAGCTGAATAATATTTTCATAATGGATTGTCACATTCGATCAGGCTTTTTTTTTTAATTTTTAATGTTTATTTTTGAGAGAGAGAGAGAGAGAGTGAGAGCGAGAGCGGGAAGGGACACAGAGAGAGGGAGACACGAATCTGAAGCAGACTCCAGGCTCTGAGCTGTCAGCACAGAGCCCGACACGGGGCTCGAACTCACAAGCCATGAGATCATGACCTGAGCCAAAGTCGGATGCTTAACCAACTGAGCCACCCAGACACCCTTAGATCATGTTTTTATTTCATTACTTTATTGAATCTGCTCTGTCAAGGTCACAAGGAACCGTCATCTTTCCATCTCAAGTTGTATTTTACTAAACTCTCAGGAATATTTCCTTCCTCCTTCTTGAAACAATTTCTCCACATGACTTCCAGGGCACATTCTCTCCTGGGTTTTCTCCTACCACATTGGCTACTCTCCCGAATCTCCTTTACTGGCTTCTCATTTTCTAGACCTCTAAATGTCAAAGTGCGCTAGGACTGGCCAATCTTCTCTGCGTTCACTAATTCCCTAGATGATCTCATCCAGTTTCATTGCATTTTAAATATAGTTTTCCTAATCTTTACTCTAAAAATTCTTATTTCTAGATGTGATATCTCCCCTACCTCCTCAGACCCAAATATTCAATTGCCCAATGAAGATAAGTTTATAACTTCAACAAGCCTTTCAAGTTTAACATGTACAGAATTCTTGATTTTCCATCCCCAGATTAACCCTGACTTCCCCATATCAGTAAATGGCACCACCAATCACCAAGATACCCCAAACAGAGGGCCATTCTTTATTATTTAACTTTCCACATTCAAATCCATCATCAAACCATGTCAAAAAATATCTCAAATCCAACCAATTTTTATTAACTCCAGTACTGTCATCCTAGTTCACACTATCATTGTCTTTTGACTATTTTACTGCAATGGCAGTAAACTGGTCTCTCTTCTTCCACCCAGACAACAATCAGACTTGTCTTTTTATCACATAAATAAAATATCCATTCAAAACCCTCTGTTGCTTTCTCATCATACTCTTCTTCTTTATATCACTTGCCACCTCACATAATATTATGTATCAATTTGTAGATGCCCTAAACATAGGGACTTTGTATTATTCATACTGTGTACCCAGAGCCTAGAAGAGTACCTGACATTTAAGGATGATCAATAAATATTTGCTGAATAAATAAATGAATCACTATGTATTTAAAAACCTTTGGTATATGATATTATAACCTGGTAAAACAGGGATTAAAAATGGTTGCCTGATGATACCTGTCTTTGTAGCTAAATCCTAGGATCAGACTTAGAGATCTATGCACCACGTATTTTCTCACATGCTTATAACAAAGAATTGCCACTTTTCATCCTTGATTATCTTTTCTTCAGCAGTATGAGCCCTGTGATATCCTATTTTCTAGCAGGAGGTAACTTATAAACTATCCTTATAAGTACAATAAAAAGATGAAGATATGTTTGTGACATATATGGGTCTCTATCTGTAGGCATCATTTTTTTTGCAGTGAGTTAGTATGATGGAGAGCTTAAAAAATCTATGCTGTGATTCCTTCAGAAATTCCCCTCCTGCAAGACACAATATATACTTTTATATGATAAGGAAAGATAAAAACCAAACAGAGCTATGTGTCAAAACATAAACCTAAAATCATAATCATTTATTTATTCTTTCCACTAATACTTTTTGAACTAAAGTGTGCCAGGCATTATGCTAAGCACTGGGGAAACAGCAGGTAACAAGACGGATAGATAGGGTCTGCTGTCATAGATTTATACTAGAGTGAACAAGTAAACAGATATATAAAACAATAAAAAATTATGAGTAGTGCTTTTAAGGAAATAAACATGATGCTGTGCTAGAAAAAAGAGGGGGATTGTGGTAGGCAGAATAATACCCCTCCAAAAGATGTCCCCATTCTAGTCCCCAGAATTTTAAATATGTTATACGTAAAAAATGAGAATTAATATTGTTAATCAGCTGACCTTTCATATCAGGAGGTCATCTTGGATTATCTGGATGGACCTAACATTATTACAAGAGTGGAAGAGAGAGACAGGGGAGAGAATGTCAAAGTCAAGATTTTAAGATGCTGCACAGCTGACTTTGAGGGTGGAAGAAGGGGTCACATGCCAAACAGACAGGCAGCCTCTAAAATCTGGAAAAGGAAAGGGAATGGGTTCTTCTCTGCCACCTCCAGAAGGAAAGAATTCCTGCTAATACCTTGATTTTAGCCCAGTGAGACCCATCGTGGACTTCTGACCCTCAGAAGTCTATGGTAATAGATTTGTGTTGTTTAAAGCCATTACATTTGTGGTAATTTGTTACAGCAGCACACAGAGAAATAACACAGGGACTTTAGACAGGAGAGTCAAAGCAAGCTTCTCTAAAAAGATGTTATTAATCTGAAAGTGGAAGGGTTACAAGAAGCATGTCATGAAAAGAGGTAGCAATAATTAATTTGAGGCAGAGAAAACAGCAAGCCCAAAGTCTCCAAGACAGAAAAGAGATTGATAAGTTCTAGACACTGATGAAAGGTCAGAGTAATTCAAGTGTAATAGTGAAGAGAGAAAGTGGTTAATAAGAGATTAGAAATTAGGTAACATTAGTTTATTCAGGGCCTTATAAGCTATACTAAGGAATTTAGTGTGTGCTCTCAGTGTAATGGTAAGACATGGAATGGTTTTAAATATAAGTATGAAATTATCTGTCTTTGGGTTTTTTTTTATTGCAGTGTAACATAATTAGCGCATACAAATCATAGTGTATATATAGCTCAAGAGATTTTTACAGAGCGAACATACCTGTAACCACCACCCAGATCAAGAAATAGAATATTACCAATACCCTTGAAGACTCCTTAGAGCTCTCTGCTAGTCTTTATCTCCACCAAATGGAACTGCTATTTTGACTTTTATCATCTTAGGGTAGTTTTTCAGTTATTGAGTTTTATATAAATAGAATCATACAAAATGTTTTCTTTGGCTTCTGATTTTTTTTCTGCTGGACATTACATTATGTCTGTGAGATTTTAGGCATACATAATTTAAAAAAAATGTCAGTGCTGTATATATTTATGTATTTGGTAATAACAATATATTTTCCATTATACTGTTGGGGTACATTTGAAGTGCTTCCAAGTTTGAGCTATGATGAACTTTCTTGTACATGTATTTTTGTATGCACATATAAGCCTTTCTATTAAGTATATACCTAAAGAGTGCAATTACTGAGTTGGAGGGTATACATATATGGTACTTTACTAAATGCTGCCAGTTTTCCAGAATGATTGTACCAAGTCACACTCTACCAGAATGTGCGCTGGTTGAAGTTGTCCCATCCTTTCCAACACTTGGAGATGTCATGTTTTATTATTAATTAATCAAGTCATTCTCTTGGGTGGGTAAAGGCATTTTACTGTTGTTTAAAATTTCCTTTCTTTGATAATTAATGATGTTGAAAAGCTTTTTGTATGCTAACTGGCTATTAGGTTTTTTTTTTCTTTTATTAAGTGCTTGTTTGCTAACTTACTACTTAGGTTTTTAAAAGGTAATTCTGTCTTCCATGGGGAGATTATAATTATAGTTAGAATTATATAGGCATTTTTAAGCACTTGTTTAGATCTTGGTACAAGATGAATGAAATTTGGTATATGCATAGAAAATTTATATTATAAGTGCTTATGTACAGAGGGCATGCTACAAAAACACAGGTGTTCAACATACCATCAAAGTGTATTTTATCTCTAAGACTAACCATGAAATTGTGAGTCAAATCATTCTTTCTGAAAAGTGTTGATCTATCTTGTTAAGACCTCTTTCTCTTGCCCCCCAAAATAACCAACTTTAAGAGTTTCATACTCTTTCAGGAGTTGATTTTATTAATGAAATGGTGTCCTTTAAAAATTAGCTTTACAGAAATTTAATGATTGAAGGAGAGAAACTGCAATGCCACATAATATTTAGTTTAATGGCCTCCAGAAAAAATTAATTTTGCTAGTTTGAAACTGAGTTAGATGAATTCTGAGACATAAAT